CCCCAAGTAAAATGGGTCGTGAACTCACCCTTGACGCGTGAGAACGTTGATGTAGGGTTGAATCGGGCTCGGGGATCTGGGGACCGCTCCAAGAGTGCAACAGCTTCGAGAGCTGAGAGCGAGACTTAGAAGGTGTGGAGAAGGAGTTTGCATTGTCTTCTATTTATAGGCAGGAATTTGGGGTGTGTGCGGCGCAAGATCTGTACACGTCGTGCATGATCATCATGGCTTCATCCAGAAACTGCCACATGTCACCTCCCCAATTGGCCACGTCACTCACAATCTACTCGAATCCGGTGTCAGGTACGTGACGGGCATATGTGTGCACCTCGCGTGCACGAAATGATTTTGTAAAAATCATAACTCTTTCGTAATCATAACTCTTTCGTGCGACCTCCAATCTAAGCCCTCTTTATATCTATGTGATGATCTCAATGAGTAATACAACTCTCCTTTAGGTTGTTTTTTCTAGGTTCGACTTTCATTTTTATATCTCAAGGAGTACTACAAATCTCATTTTCATACTTTTAGTCAAAACTCAACCAATCTCCAAGTACCGTTTTGACGTAATTAATTTTAATTATGCGGTTGATTATTATTTTTACAAAATTCATAACTCTCTCCTTTGGAGTCGGCTTTTTACAGATTTTATATCATTAGGATCACGTTAACGAGTACTTTCCAAATATGTTAACCATTTTAAAAGACGGTACAAGTTTTTGGACGTTTAATTTTTTTTGCCTAACAGTCAATTTAATTATAAAAATATAACGACTTGTTGATTTTTATTATCTCATAAATCAAATATTAGAATATTAAGCTATTACATCTATTTTCATCTCTTTGTAACGATAGTCAGTGACAAAATCTTATCGGTTGTCACACTTCATCCCTCCTCTCCACTCCCACACTAAAAAAATCGAGAACAAGTTGTAAATAAACAGATGAATGAAAAGAGTTGTTAAAGATTAACAAGAAGTGAAATCTCCTATATATATGACTCGTGGTTTTAAAAACTGGATTGGATCAACCTGTTCGACCGGAACTTGGAATCGGTCTAGTTACCTATTTTTTACCATAAAAATTATTTGTAAGTAAATAAGGGTGTCAACGATGCCAGGTGGGTAGAGGGATGCATTACCCACCCCCACGCTCAATATCCCCTCGCCCTAACCCTCGCCCCCAAAATTTACAGCCTCCCCATCCTCGCCTCGCCCCTAAATTCATTGATTACCGCTTCCCCTGATTGATTTTGGGCTACCTCTTTTTGAGTTAAAAGAAGTTGTTTTGGGGGCTAAAAGAAACCATTTTTAGGTAAAAATAGTTTTTATATCATAATTTTGTATGTTAAATGTTATGATATCTCAAAAACATTATACTAACAACTTAAAACATGATTTTCTTTTTGTTGAATATTTGCAGCTCAACATCATGTTAATATTCATTATTTGTGAACCTGCTCCTTCCCCCGCCCATGCCCTCACCCCGATTATTTTAAACAAATACCCACATGGGATCAGGATCCCATGAGACTTTTTGACATCTCTATAAGTGAATTAAGGACAGACAAATTCAAAAAAAAAAATCAACAGATTCACCTCTTAAAAAACTGATTTTTTTAAATATATGTTAAAGAAAATTTACGCAAATATTTCACCCTATTTTAGGTATTGTTTTTAGAATGGCAAAACACATCATCTAAATCTTACTCATAAACTATATATTTATCAATCACGATATATGAACTTATCCCTTTATTTTAAGGTTTTTTGTTTTGTATTTTTTATAATTCTAAAATTAATAATAATATAATATAATAATAACATCATTCGTTTTTTTGAACCGATCCAACCAACCATCAAACCGTTAAAAACGACCTATTCGATAACCGAAATAATCGTACGATCTTCAAAACATTGATATGTGTCTAGAAAAAAATGAATTCACATTTTTACTAGATGAATAATGATCAATATTATTAAATAAAGACAAAACTGCAAAAATGGTACATGTGGTATGCATTTTTTCTGAGGTTTAGTCAAAACCTTGAATTTTTTTTGGCTTCATGGTCTTTTTGAGCTAGTTTTGTTGCATTTTTTGTCCATCAGAAAACTTAAAAGACTAAAATGCCCTTCTGATACATTTTTTATGTTTTTTTCTATTTAATTTAAAGTTTTATTAATAAAAATTATGGGATCCGTCTCTCTCTCTTCTCTCTCTCTCTCTCTCTCTCTCTCTCTTCTACCTCCCTCCCTCCCTCCCCTCTCTCCATCTCTCTCAATAGTTTAGGGTTTCTCTCTCCACAATTACACAATGTCGGATCTGCAGGTGTGTGTGAACATTCATGTGACCACCTAGGGCTTGAACAGATCCGAGAAGGGTTTTCAAATCCATAGACGGAGAAGGAGAGGCTTCAGATAAGAAATCAATTCAAATCAAGTTTAGGTTTAGGTTTCGTAGCAGAAATCGATTCAGGTGGTGGTGAAGGGCGGTTCATCAGATCCGAAAAAAAATGATTTTTGGGTTCGTGAATGGTTTCTGGAAAATCAGGAAAAAACGATTTATGGGTTCGTGAATGATTTATGGGTTCGTGAATGTGATTTCTAGGTTCGTGAATGATTTATGGGTTCGTGAATGTGATTTCTAGGTTCGTGAATGATTTATGGGTTTGTGAATGTGATGTTCTTGTTCTTGAAATCAGGAAAATGTGATCTTAAGATTTATATTCTTGTGTATTCATCACTACAGAAAAAACAAAAACGAGTGTTCTTCATATTCATATTGTTGTGTGTATTCATCCACACACACATACACACACATATAGAGAGATGGACCCTTTTTATATTTTATAATTATAAAATATTTAAGAAAAAATTTGAAAAATAAATATACTAAATGTATAATAGTCTTTTTAGTTTTTTGATGGACCAAAAACGCAATGAAACTAGGTCAAAAGGACCATGTAGCCAAAAAATCGAGGTTTGGACTAAAGCTCGGAAAAAATACATATCACACGGACAATTTTTAAAGATTTGTCTTAAATAAAAATGAATTATTTTTCGTTTTACACTTTCAAATTTTGAAAATTGAAACCAATTTCCTACCGTTGCAAAATAAAGTAATAATTTAAAAAACACTATATGTACGTGAAAGTAGTCTGCCTTGGCCCAATTGTCCATTGCGTTCTTCCTTTTTACGTCGTCACAACGCTCCCTCACTCAACAGGTATCTAGGGTTTTTCATTGATCCTCAAATTTCTTAATTTCTACTAAAATTTCTCCCTGTTTGTTTCATTCATCATAATCTACACTTATTCTAACCCCTATTTCATCAGGATTTCGTTAAACTTTGCTCAATTCAATCGATTATGGGTCAGATCCAATACTCCGAGAAGTACTTCGATGATACGTTCGAGTACAGGTAACAATTATTCTCTCAAACCACTTCGATTTGTTCTCTATTTCTCCTAAATCGTGATTATCTTGTTCAATCTTTCGTATAACGATCTCTAACAATTGGTTTTACGATTTTCTGAACTTGTTATTGATAGGCACGTAGTTCTTCCTCCAGAAGTCGCAAAGCTTCTTCCGAAGAATCGTCTTCTAGCCGAGGTATGTTGTTGATTCCAACGATAATTAGGGTTTCATATACGTGTTTATACGACTTCTGTATATAGTAGAGAAAGAAAATCGATCATTACAACTATGAGACTTTTATGATTTTGATTTTGTGTAGACGGAATGGAGAGCAATTGGGGTGCAACAGAGTCGAGGATGGGTGCACTATGCGATCCACAGACCAGAGCCTCACATCATGCTTTTCAGGAGGCCTTTGAACTATCAGCAGAACCAAGAGAATCAGGCTCAAGCTCACCAAGGTCTGCTTGCTAAGTGACCCAACAACAATTAGTATTTTGTGGTATGAAGTATGAACACACATCTCATTTCCTGTAGAAATGGGTAGATGATAAAGTTTGATAATCTGGTATCTGAATCATATTTCAGAATGTTAAGTTACTGTAATTTGGTTTATGATGATGATCATGTTTTCAGAATTTTAATAGTTACTCCTTGCTATGGATCAGTTATACTCCTCAATACTTTGTTGGCATAATGGCATTGATTTTCTCTTGATCCTTGAAGCATTTTTAATGATATTTTTTCAAACTACAATTTCTAGAAAATGCAAGGTTTGAAAATTGTTATTTCTCAAAAATTGGATCAAAATTTCATAATATATATTTTTAAACAAGAAGTAGGTTCGAAAATTGATAAACAAGTTTGAAATTCTGAAATTATTCATGAGTTTTGAACTTGTTCATTGTGTGTTTGAGTTGATTTTTTAATCGTTTTCAAATTTGTATTCCGTGTTAGATGATATCCTCTGAAAAGAGAATAGGAGAAGAAAAAGCCGGTTACATTAAAAAATGAAGATCCTAAAAAATATGAGTGGGAAAGAGATATGAAATCAAAAAACGTAGGCATATTTTCGAACTAGGTACTTATTTGGATTATTTTTTCAAAAACTGATCATTTCCTAAAATATTTTTGGAAAGTATGGTTATTACGATAGGAATGCAAATTTGACCATATATTTGAGTACCACGGATATTATATATTTTTAGGTTGATTCTCGATATAAATTATACTATAAGTACATATTAATAGGGTAAATTGTCCGATTCGTTTCTCGTGCAAGTACCAAAATACACGTTTGGTCTCTATTTTCAAAAATTAACTCGGATCATCCATCGTTTGTTTAAAACTTGCACGTTTTATCCTTGAAAGATGAATTTGTTGCAATTTTAGTCCGTTCTAGATTTGAAATGACCATAATTTCCTTTTGTATTTATTTTTTGTTAATCTAATAATATTTATTCTTATTTATAATTTAAAAAGAAAATGGACCCCTTTCCTAACACCCCCCACCCCACCCGCTCTCCTGTTATCCTCTTCTCCCGATCCACTGTTTTTCGCCTTCCTCTGATCCTATTACGATCATCATTTCCGACCACCCTAATGTGCACCTTTCCTGAAACCTATACCCAAATGGTTATAGAAATCGAAAATCATTTTAGAGATCAAACTCAAACGAACAGTCAACCTGAAACCCAAATAGTTTTAGAAAATCAAAAATGGTGGTGGATCTTTTTGAGAACCTGTAAAATTTGAGCTTTTCGAAAATGGTTCCAAAAAAAACATGTAAAATTACAAATCACCCATGTGTTCATCTCTTTGACCCTCTCTCACTCGATATTGCATCACAAAAAGTTTCCATTTCCAAACCCATAATCTAACCCGAAATCAAACCCACAAATCGAACCTTGAAATCAAACCTACCATCGAGGTGGCGAGAGTGAGACGAGAAGATAGGTGGAGAAAGAATAATGGAAGCAACATAACTGTTGATGGTGGTGCAGTGGCGGTTCCTACTTTGATGACGATGGAGATCGAAGATGATGGTGGTGATGGTTTTATTCACCCGGTCTAGGTATTTTGTTCTCACTTGAACGCACCCTTTACCTTTTTGCTTTCTGATTTGTTGCAGATCGAGAACAGGGAAACATAAATGGTGATGAACATGTGGTTTCGTGGGATGGGTAATCTATGGATAATATGGTAGTTATGGTCGAATATTGTTGTAGGTTTGGAGATGATAGTGATGATAGCAACGTTTGTGAAAGTGAAAGTGGGGTGATGGGGTTTTCATCGGCGTCAGGAGTGGGTGAGAAGAGGGAGATGGAGAGTGGGTGAAAAGAGGGAGATGAAGGTAGAAGATGAAGGTAAAACGACCTGGGGAATTGGAAGTGGGTTGGGGGTATTTATTTTATTTTATTCTTATTTTTTAATTTAAAACTGGTAAACAAATAAAAAAAATGAAAAAAATAAATTATTAAGGTCAAAATAACCATTTCATGTCAATAGGATGAAGGGTACAAGTTTAAAGCAAATGAGTACGCGTTAATTTTTGAAAATAAAAAATAAACATGTCTTTTGACACCTGCACGAGATCCGTGTAATTTACCCATATTAATATTAATTAGAAAATGAGCTTACCAACAATAGACTTCGGGATTTCAAATTTTCGTCAAATATCTTTTGGATATTATCACATTTGGTCCTTATAATTATGTAGTTCATAGAAAATGTCCCTATGAGTTTTTTTTGAGTTTTTTTTATAGAAACAATATGTTCGTAGTTTTGGTTAATATATAAAAAATAAATTACAAAAATTGTCCTCATAAAAATGTTTGTGTATTTTTTTTACTGAAACAATCCATATGTTAAAAAAATATACAAGAAGAGCTCGTACCCCGACCCTTGGCAATATATTGTCATATCTTGTCCCTACATTTTTTGTTCTCGCACTTTGACCACATGAGTTTTGTATATTTGTTGGTTTGCTCCCTATACTTTCATCGTTACGTAATTTCGCCCCCTGCGAAGCGGGGAGTAGTAACTTGCTAGTTTTAATTATTTTTAATATTTTAATAGTTTTTTTAAAACGGTTATGAAAAGGTAAATTAGATATATCATTCAAAACAGAAAATTATTAATAAAACCAAACTAATCGTGAATTTTTTAAAAAAAATAATTGAAATAAATATGTTTAGGTTGATTATGGGATAGTCTTTTGTGAAAAATTACATATTTTTAAAAGAATAAGTTTAGAAAAGTAAAGAATCTACTAAATTTTAACCGTTTTATTAAATGAAATAGGTATAAAACTTGTGTATTATTTGGGTTCATTTAAAAGAAAATTAAATATAAAATTCTAAGAAGTTTGAATTTATAAGAAAAATTAGAAAAATATTGAATTATTAAAATTAAAGTGTTTTTTCCCTTTTAAATTTAAACAAATAATTTAGATAAATAAACAAATGAAACTAATGAGGTTTTAATTTAGAAATTTTCAGATTAAAAGGAAAGTCAATTAATAATTTTATATATATTTATTATTACATTTGTTATAATTATTACACTATGTGTACAACCCGTGTATTACACGGGTTAATTAAAAAGAATTAAATATTAAAATGTAAACACTAAATATTTTTTTAAATAAAATTTTGAAATAAGAAATGAAGAAACATATTAATTACAATTACGATCATATTTATTATATTTAATACTTTACATATATAAAATACAAATATTATGTGGCTTTTTAATTTTCAAAATTAGAAAAAACCCAAAAATTGACATGTGGATATTATTTATTTCAAAAATATCATAAAATGACAAGTGTCAAAACTAATGAGAGATTGACATGTGACAAAATAGATCTTCATTTATTATAGTTGATTTAAGGGAAATCTTCATAAAAGTCCCAATATTTACAGAAAAGTTACACTTTAGTCCCAATATATATTTTTTTTTGAAAAAAAAAGTCCTGAAAACCGACAAAAATTTGCAGTTTAACCCTTTTTGACCGGTTGAAACCGGTACCAAATTAATTTGGGACTATTTCGTAAACTAACCCAAAATATTGGGACTTTTCTGTTAACAAAAAATATTATGACTTTTCTGTAAACAAAAATATTATGACTTTTCTACAAACAAAACCCTTATTATTATTAAAAATATAAATAAGTAGTAGGAATGATACAATGGGAAAAACGTGTATTAAATACACTCTTGTTTTCCATATTTCTTTCTTTTCCACAACGATTATGGCATCTTCAAAACCTAAAAAGAAATATATATTGCTAAGAATCGTAAGCTAAGAAATATATATATATATATATATATATATAATATATAATATATATAACAAATATCCTAAAAAGCTAACAAATATACTATTGTTCTAAAGAATATTATTGTTAAGAATCGTATACCTTCAGAATATGTAAAATATATTCTGCAAGAAAACAAATTTTGGTTTGCATCTTAATTTAAATTCGAAATCAATTATCTAGGCATTGATCCATGAAATGATAAGAACTAATTTGTAACTCTTATTATATATCATTACTAGCCAATTTTGAATCAAATCCAGGGGACAACTATAGCTCACAACCTAAGATGAACTTCATTATTAAAACAGAAAATATATCAAAATGAACCAATTATTGTCTACTTAATCACAATATTTCAAATTAATAAACATTAAGAATGAACAATAGAATGAATGAACCCTTCGCAAACCACGAGTGATAACATATGTTGAATGAGTCATTACAATACATTGAAAACACCATATATTTCAAATCCACCAAATCAACAAACATATTATTTGCATCAAATAGTAAATTAATATAAAAAATAATGTAGAAAAGTAATATTTTATATTGAATTGAAGTTAATTACCTTCATTAATCTACATGCCAGCAACCAAAACCTCCGTGAACGAGACTCTGAATTTAAAATACATTTCAACTTTTTTCACTTAAAATAGAACTAGTTTAATTTGGGTTTCATTTTTGTTTTACTACTTAAAAAAATATGCAGAGCAAGATGCACAACACCATTGAAGAAAAGAACGAATTTTTTCGTTTTCCCATTGTATCCCTCCTACAACTATCAACTGATCTGCTACGTCAACGTTCACCTAGTACTTATTTATATTTTTAATAATAATAATAATAATAATAATAATAATAATAATAAGAGTTTTGTTTGTAGAAAAGTCCTAATATTTTTGTTTACAGAAAAGTCCTAATATTTTTTGTTTACAGAAAAGTCCTAATATTTTGGGTTAGTTTACGAAATAGTCCCAAATTAATTTGGTACCGGTTTCAGCCGGTCAAAAATGGTCAAACTGTAAATTTTTGCCGGTTTTCAGTACTTTTTTGTTCAAAAAAAAATTTTAGGACTAAAGTGTAACTTTTCTGTAAATATTGGGAATTTTCTGAATATTTCCCTTGATTTAAATATTATGTGGAATTTAATAAAATGAAAAAACCACAAAATGTCATGTGGAAAAAATTTAATTGAAAATAACCATAAAATGACATGTGGCCAAATCAATAAGAATGTGACATATGGTAAAAAAAATTATTTATTAGAGTAGAAGATATGTTTCATTGTTGAAAGATTACAATCATCTTTGATTTTTTTAATATGAAATGAACTAGAGCACAAACAATAATGAATATAATTAATTA